TCCAAAGATTGAGCTACTTATGGTAAACGAGAAGTCCTTGAAGAACAGTTCCATTATAAGCGCCATATTCCACAAGTTTTTCCTCATATGGGCCCTTCCTAAATATGAGATTATGAGTTTTCGTAAAAAAGAGGAAATGGAAATTACTTACGGTGTTGGAAGTAATATTGGAGGTGCAGCCGCAGTTACAGTAACACACCAGAAGCAGATGACGGTGAACAGGAGCGAATACATCTGCATAAGGTTGTTTTGGCTGGGTCGCACAACGAAATTCCATTTGACTGGGTAACGAGGAGTGGGATTAGGAAATCAGATGGTCATTTTTTTCTTTCATTCTTTCTGTTACTATCGTCCATTCATTCTATGCCATTGATGTACAGGGTGCACCAAAAATGACACGTTTGATAGTTAAAATTCATCTTCAGTCTCGACTTTCCGTTAACATTCCGTAGAGCTGATTTCAATTTGGATGTCCAATAAGGCAGGATTCCCGGTTCAACCGGCTTATATGGTCAGCTTATTCGCTATTGGTTCCAGCTATATGACCAATAGCAAATGGGTGAAATGGTAGAATCGGTTGAACTGGATAAGTCTGGCACCTACCTAAGAGCGGATTACCGGTTCCTTTACATTACTGTACTATCGAAATAGGCTTTTTCATAGGCAGTGCGGCGTCATTCTAAATCAGCTGAATTTTCAAATCTTCAAAAAATCTGAAGAGTTGTGCACCAGGATTTTTACACGCTGATTCTATTACTCAATTTATGGGTAATTTGTTTGTGAAGCTTTTCACATGGTACTCACAATTTTAGAAGGCATTGTAAAAAAGGTACAGCAGTTCATTTAGTATAACTTATGAAAGAAGCAGTGTGGTAAAGTGACAAGTTTATATTTGGTGACGGGGCTCTGGTTAGCCCAGAATAAGAGTTTTCAGGTTGTTTGGTATGCTTGCTGATGCGAGTAGGGACCTTTTTGGCTCGAAATTCTCCGAATTTTACCGTAATCTCACAACGATGAAGAGCGACTGGTGCTTTGCTTCGTAGATTTAACAATAAGCTAAATTTAAGGTTGCCAGCTCTACATCATGGTGTTTGAAGAAAAGGCGAGAGCTTTTCATACAAGAAGGTAGTGAAGACCAAACGTTCGATACATTATTTTGGGGCACCCTGTATAAGTTCGTTACGATCATTCAGACTTCCATGTCTTTTACACTAACACTTACTTTTACACATTAATCAATCTATGTACAACTAGTCCACCCCAAAAAAGCATTGCTGACTGAATGAGTGTCAATTTAGCCGATCTAGAGTCTTTTTGTGTGCAATAGAACCGAATATGTCAGACGGAAAAAGCTGTGAAGCAAGGAGTCAATTCTAGCACTTGCTGCCAGCAAAAAGGTGCGGGAAGTGGCTCTCGATAAAGCGCTTATCACATTTAAATATGCGGTCGCAACCTCATTAAAATAATACGAGCACACGAGAACTAACACAATCATTGTGACCAAAGTTTATTGGGTCAAGCCGAAAACGTCAAAGAGCTGTGAAGGCTGACTATGCATAATAACAGAATTTCTGACAAACATAGACTCGAGCAATTTGCCAGCAAGCATATTGAAGGAAGCGTACACAGTTCTCATAAGAAAGTCAGCTTAAAGTAGGTTATATTTTGCTCATGCAGAGTAAATTGAGCTTTCAAAATAATCCTCCATTACCAGGTAAATGCAATGTCGGCGCCAAATCTAATTCCCATGTCTGTATATAATCTATTTGCGTCTGGTAATTCACATTTACTAAGTCATTT